GTACAGAACAAACTGATGGAATAACCATGCAATGGGATAGTTCATATTTGAGATTAGACCTCTATAAATGCATGGAGTTTGTGGAAATCAAAAGAAACTTGAAAGCATTCTTTCCCATACACTGCTCTTTTGGAATTATGATCGACGACAGCTCTTAAAGTGATGAGAAAATTCGAAAAATTTGAGTTAAAATAGTAGGCTCCTCTTAAGGTGACAAATATTGAACTAGTGATTATATTTCATCTATCGAGAGAGAAAGTTTTTTTTTAATCTGTTTTTGCAATAAATGAAATTTGAGATATTATTCAGAATGGTTCTCTTGAGCGTGAAAGTAAAAGACTAACTGAGAATGACACATATGATTTTATTTCGTAAAGTAAAGATAAGTATATCCGATTAATGAATATATCCGTTAGATTGAATAAATTCGATAATCCTGAAAAGTTCAAACTGGTAGTTCTTATCATTTTGTAGATGTCAAACTTAAGAGTTACCTATGTGACTGTACCCTTACCTGATGATAGCGTAGAGAAGAAACAATCATCATTTGATCATGAGGTATGGCCACCTGAGAACAAGGACATGTAAGTGTTAGTGGAAAGCCATTGTATAGACGCTCGAAAGTTGCCTGTGATGGGTATGAAATCGTAAAGTTAAGCGTGTGGACAGTAATCCATAAGTAAAATGTAATTGTAACGACACATATTGCAAACAGAAATACGTAGACACGTGTACCAATAATACAAAGCCGTTGATGATCCGAATCATCCTTATATCAGATAAAATTTGTGTTTATGTTATGCTACATCTTTCATCAAAAATGAAATGTTGAATTTGTCATTCATGTTTTCGATTGATTTTCGAGTCTTCACTCTTACAACCTCGTGATCAGAATTTATTAAACACAACAATATCTTAATCAATACAAAAATTTGCTCTTCTAAACACTCAGTAATGCTAGAAGTATGTCATTGACTCATGTTGTCTTAATGAAGAAAAGGAGACAGAAGATTCATACTGTCGCGTTGCTCCTATCGTACATCACATGTAGAAGAAAAACTAAATATATACCTACTTTTAGATGAAAGCAGTAGACGATGAACTTAACAATAAAAGTTTCATGGTCTAAGATAATCGTTTCAGCTTTGTACTTGAATCTAGCTTATGGAAAAATTTGCCTCACTCCTATGTATTATAGTTAGAGTTTTATCTCATGCGATCATATTTGATCAAGGATATTCATAGACATTTTGAAAAAAATTTCTACCAAAAACCAATGTAAAAAATGTAAAAACTTGAACTCTACGATCCATTTTGGATCATTTTAATCATTTTTATATGAACGTTGTCAGAATCTGCTAATTTTTGAAGCGAAAGAATTCGAATCCAACACATACATATACAAACCATTATATCTAAAATAACAACGAAGCAAAAAATATAAACTCACGTCAAAAATATTGAAAGAACGTAGTTGTGCTCGAATGAAATTGAACATCTGAATCATTCTTGTGGTCCATCCTAGAAGAAATACAAGATTTCGTCAACGAAAAGCATATTTGTAAATCGGTTAGTAACGACGAAAGGATTAAAAACTAATTTGTATTCTGTTAAGTCTCAACATTCAATTCATTACGTACGTAGGAGTAGCTTAATTACAGTAAAAGACAACTGATGACAATCAAGTCTGCTAGAAAAATTCATCATAGAATACTTTAGGTTTGTTCATATACTCAGACAATTATAAAAGTTTCATGATTGGGTACCCATTGAATGAGCCCATCACTATTAGGCTCATATTTTTTAAAGTAAAAACCTAAAATTTCTCAAAATTTGTTACTGAGAATAGTTATTTTTTTTCAAACATTTACAAGCAAGTTCATATGTTGATGATCATTGACTTATAAAGATATTAGTGAACGCTTTTTAACAAATCATTGCTTTTATCTATCCAGTAATTTATTCTGTAGCAAAGCATTTTTAATGCATATGCAAAGGCAAGACCATAAAATGCTTAATTACTTCACAGTATACTCAAGAAATCTTTTAAAGAAATCAGTGAACTGAGATTTTATGATTATTGATCGATCACAATCATTATTAACGCAAGATAGATACGGCAAAACTTTCGGATTCTCATGTAGAATTCGATACTATTTGAATAAAGCTTTGTAAGTATGAGATGAACCAATGCTTTTGACTTTTCTCCAATACTAGTAAATTTTATTGCATGATCAATCGAACCACTTAAACTATTGAATCATACATAATCCGCTAAAAGTTCCTAAAGACCATGTTTAGATCATACCGAACTGTTGCACTTGTATATTTGTATTGGGCCTCTTTCTTTTTGAAATAATATAAATAAGAATAGAAGGTAATTTAACGAGTTGTGGTGTAATAGTGCGTAGAACTACCATAAGACCACCTAATGATCCGATGAATATTGTTAGTATCTGAAGAATACTACTATGTTTAGTTATCATGTAAGTGCATGAAGCTGGTAAGCAAGCAGCATAGTAACCCGAAAAATTTGTTATATTTTGCCATTCTTCAATCATTAGTTCCTCTGTAAGAGTATTAGTAGACGTGGTGGAAATAAAACGTGATTTCATTGAACTGTTTAATGGCTTTGGCCAAGAAGCAGCTGGCAAAGTTGAAATCCATTGTGCTGTGGTATTAAGACATCCAGAATCAAAGAAACATTCGAGTGTATTCAAATGCATGGCATCATTTGGTAAACAACCGACATGCATTCCAGGCACAATAAAAACAGATGGTGGTTTTGGAGTCATTATTTCTGTGAGTGGTCGTGGTTCAAGAGCCCAGTCATATATTCCAGCTTTGTAAGTCACCGGGTAGTACGTGTTGCACTCAAAGAAGTCGTTCTGATAGTTCTAAATGCAAAAACATTCAGAGTACAATATCCTTATCATGAAAAGTTTTCGTATCATATATTTCAAAAGGATAATTTCTATTTCTTTTGAACACAGATATTTATTATTTTGCATATGAATCAAAAAGATCATTGACAAAAAAAGTACATAGAATTGTCTTTTGATTTCGTTTAAGTTAAAGAATACTGCAAATCCATAGATTCTTCTAAGAATTCAAAGTAAAAATTTGATAATAACCTGTTGCTTAGAATCTGCTTACCTACCTCTCAGTCATTCTTCTTCAATACCTTTATTTTTCTTTCGTGTTGGATGCAATTCTTCTCTAAAAGATTCATTATTAAGCTATCAACAAAACATATCTGAAATATCTTCATGGCAGCATTTTATTAAATACTTATTAAAATCATACTAATGATGTTAAAAGCATTCATTTACAAGACTTCATCTAAACTGACCACTTAAAACAAATTATGGAAATACTTTATTCGAGTTTTGTAGTATAAAATATTTTATTTGAGCAAATCTCATCACATAATCATACATTGCTAAGCGAAAGTTTAAGTGTTTCCGTTTATGAAATTTACACAGTTTCTTTTTGATAGATACTTTTAAGCTGTTACAATCAAATGAGGTACAATTTAGTTTGATCTCATAGAATCGAATTCAAAATTACCAAAAACTCACTATTTTTATTGACTTTTTTTCAAGTCAAAGTGTTTTCTGTTGATCCTCGTTTTTGCGTATGTTTCTTTATTTATTTTTGAGAAAAATAAAGCACTTCAAAGCTGAAAAGATACTATGCTCATTTATTTATATGCATCATTTCATTTATCCCTAAAATGTTCACGATCTGAGTTGATTTAATGAAACTCTGAAAGAGAGCTTTCTTGTCATGTGCTACTAGATTTTTCATAAAGGTTTTCAATAATATTTAACTGATGGAGTACTTTTGACATCACAGTATTCATCTATTAGTTTTTTCGGCATTCATTTAACTACAAAAAAGCTAATCAAAGCAGTGGTTTACTATTCGAGAGTTTGCACGGTTTGATCATATTTGTTGTTTAATATTTGGTTTCAAATAAAGCCTTTGATCATACTGAATCAATGATTATCGTGTAAGTATCAAGTGAATTTTTCTCTTATATGAGTCTCTTTTGAAATGTGTTCATGATCAGAGATTTTATCTTATGCAACTCAATGATCATCCACCGTTACAAAAATAGTTATCGACCATGATGTGTAAAACTAGGCTGTTTGTATAAGCGAACAAAAACCGATGCAGACTACGCGATAGCTTTTTATTCTTAAATGAATGACCTCAAAACTTTAACGATTCACTCAGAAATACATACAGAGACACTCGATATCATATACATGGAAGCGTTACGGCATTATATCTTTGTATTGTTGATACTCCATGTATTCCTTTGGTTTTGTATTTCTTGTATTTCTCCTAATTCTAGAAGCGTATAGTCTAATCCACGATTGTTTTTTCTTCAACTAACCTTATCTCCTTATAGTTTCCCTTATATCATTATAAGATGTGTGTCTTTCGACCTGTAACCTCTGAACTTCGAAGCAATACACAGCACTATGCAGATAGAAACTGAGTATTATTTATAGATAAACTGCTAAATGAATATAAAATGTCTTGAAGATTTAATTGAGTGTTGCTGTTCAAGATTTGAAATATCATAAGAATCAACTATGGGTTTGTATTATTTTATAGATATGTCAGTCTTATTATTTTTGCAATGAGCAACGATATACTCAATGAAGACAAATGATCATCAAAAAACTATTATATTGTGTAATTGTAAGAAACTTAAGTTTGCATTAAATACTATGCAGATTCTTTGAAAAAATTATCTGTTGGACTCAAATTTTCTAGTAAAAAAACTTCTTAGTTGAACCTATTCGAGGATGGAATGTGAAACTTACATATCTTCTTTAGTCTAGGAGACGATGGAAAGCTAGAGGAATAGAACCGAAATATTTCGACTGAAAACTTACGTTCATTATTTTCTTCGAAAATTTATTTTGTATAAGGACTTACACTACTGTTGACGACATTGTCATGTTTTGGATAAAAATTAGTGATAGCTTCAAATTTGTTGGAGCCAGGGACACTTGTAAGAAATGCATTTGTGTGAGCAGCTGAGTTAGAACCATCTTGAGAGATGATGAAATGCAAGAATTGAATGCCACGAAGCGGTGTTATTTGTACTTGCATCATAGCCTTAAATTTGTCGATAAGAGCATTAGCTTGATCGTGAAGAGATATTGGTGATAGAACTCGTGTGTTCACAAGCTGTTCTTGGCCGTATATTTTATTAAGGTTATTTATGGACATTGATGATATCGAGCAAGCCGCTGCAAATAGTCGAAATTGTGCTGCTGCTGTAACGCGAAAGTCCAGTGGAGTCATATGCGCCATTTGTGGGTTAAACAACGATGTGATCCATTTAGATGATATCAGTTCACTGGAGCATACCTTTTGAAGTAAAATAGCGAAATCATATATACATAACCTATTCAGGGGGTAACCTGTCGTTCATATGATTGAAACGAAGTTAATTAGTCTCTATTTGATTATTAATTTTCAAATTCCTAGGGAATATCTTCGGAAAAAAGGAAACCAGAAACGCATATATTATGCCCGTTTCAGCAAAAAGCAAGGGCATTTATCCTCAATAATGAACATGACCAGAAAGTATTGAGTAGAGATTGGGAACACGGTGGACTACAAATCAAACTGGAGGTTACAAAATTCACTTGTGAATCCCTCTATTTCGATGCTCACTCATCAAATAGTAGACTGAATCATTCGTATTATGCTCTTTCTTAATCGTTCTCTAGACTTCTTTGACTCAGATAAGTCATTCAGTGATATTTAACATGTTTTTGGCACAGTTAAGACATTTAGACTATTGACTATTTTTTTCGAAATACATGATATTTCCTTGCAGCTTAGATATTCTCAGTATCAACTCAAGGGTCTGTATGCTCTTTGCCGAAAAGGGCAATATCGAAAACATTGTTTAGCCATGAAAAGCGCTGCAAAGGTGAGGATGAGGACGAAATCAATTCATTTCGTCATATTCAACAATTTTATGAAAGAATTAAAGGGATCGTAACTCTCTGTGGTAATCTCGAGGCTTTCCATGAAACCCTTTTCGGTGAAGAGGTATACAACCGAGCCTCTCGATTTTCTCTATTGTTGAACTTAGAATTTTGTTCGAGATTCATACCTGATGATAAATTGGTTTGATTGAAAAGAAACTGTCGTACGATACAGCAATGTTTTGACATGTACATGATAATGTATCAGGGTATTTCACTAGCAGATGTTTGTAGGCGTCTAATGAAGGTCTTTGTATTGTGACAGATATATTTATTGGTGTTGAAGAGACATAGATTATCAAGATCAATAAACTCACCATCAGAAGTATAACATAAAGACGAGTACTACGCTTTTGATCACGTACTACTTGTTCATTTATTTCATTCACTGCTGTAACATCATAAAATAAGTTAAAGTTTCGTAACCGCTGAATTGCAAGTCTGACAATTGCCATTTGACAGATAAACAGCGTAGAAAAAGCAATCAGTGAAATCGTCACTCAAAGGCGATATTGATAACGAAACCTTGTTTTAAGGTAGTATTTTCACAAAGAAACAATCCAATTTATTTGAACAACTAAAAATAAGAAAATAGAAACACTAACCCTTGAGATCAGCATCACTGTGTAAACTTAAACTAATTTCTGTGAACAAAACATTCAATTTTAGATGCTAAAAGTATTACATACCAATCACATAGTTCTTGGAATAGTAAAATGTCAACAGTTTCTTTCTTCCATTATTTTGACGAAATTATATGGGATATTTTCCATTTGAAAAATGATGTTCATATGTATTTTTGATCCTGTATAGCAGCCATCTAATATTATAGCTATATATGTCTCACGTCAGAATAAGTTTTATTATAAAATCCAAACTCTTTAGCTAATTTCTTTCAACGATGAATGTCACTTAGATTTGAATAAAACGATAAATTAACAGAGAAGTAATCAATAATAATGCTATTGGTATTTTTCTAATAGTTGATCAAATGCTCATTACTTTGTTTTCTAGTTTTGCTAAGCAGAGAAATATCTCAAGTGATTCACAACGTACAGATATCCTTTCTTACATGAATAAAATACACTGTTTTTCTCGATATACATAATACAGCGATACTTACCAATGTTCGTTTTAGTAACAAGCATGTAGAACAGCATTCCTAGTATATTAATATAGTCTAGATGGTCTTAGGAATTTCCACTCGCCTATTTTTGTTCTGTACACTATTTTAGGCTGAGTTTCAGTCGTCCTCTGATATCAACTATCTCCCTTCTCAACAAATATTTTAGGAATGATTGAAAAATGAAATTAGCTTATAAGAACTATAAACATTCACGGATCAAAAGGTGTCTTATTGTCATAAATTTCATACTTGCTTAAGTTTAGCTTTTAACTTTGATACTGCTATCCATGTGTGCAGTATGTTTTCTGGGAAATATGTCATCTTGAAAACATCATGACATTTCATAGCATAACACCAAAATAGGCACAAAGTCGATCTAATCAAATGAGATTCAGTTAACATCTATAGACCTAACAGATATTATACAGTTAGTGCACCAAACTGAATCTGTTGGAAGAGTTTTAAAATGTTCTATTCTATGTAATTTCTTAATTTATGATGTTTGCATAGATCTAAGTAACATAATGAACGCAAAACTAGATACAAACCTCTTTTATCAAACTCAAATAATGCATACGTCTCTAATGGAGTACTAAGAATTTTATTTTTTCCACAGCTATTTGCATTTTTTCGTATGTCATCAAGTACACACTGATAAGCACTTAACAGGAAATTTAGATTAGAGGTAAGAATAATAGATAGACGCCTGTGGTTTTTGATCCTTGACCTGCTTAAGTTCCTGAAAGATCGCCTATTGAAATTGCATGTCAAAGCTTAACCGAAAATAAAAACACTCTCAAAAGCTTTATGCTTCGTTAATAATATTTTTTATGGGTATGTACTACCAAAGGACTAATCCTGTCAAGAAATAAAGACAAAGAAATTCAGTATAGGTCATTTCTTCCAACTAAAAAAGAATTAACAAGTCAATTACACATCGTTAATCATATTGAATTGACACATAAGTTCGATAGAGAATAATGAAAACCTAAGGAAGTAGATATTGCAAGTGTTTCATTACTTACGGATAAGCCAATCCTTATTCTTTCATTATATTTATGTTATGTTCGAAATGTTCCACTTCGAACATAAGACAGAACAAAACGAATAACTAATCCTTTCTAGTACAGTGGTTAATACGACTGCCCGGAAAGCAGGAGATGTATGGTTTGATTCCATGCGGAGGGAGATTATTCTTTTGTTCTGTTCTGTGGTCATACTATCACGTTGCTTTTCGGCGATAAGGAAGAGCGATGAGATAACAATTTATCAAAATTCTAGTTTCTTGACTTCTATTCTACTTCTCTATACTTCCACTTATTTTTTTTTCATCCATTTATTAATTTTTGTTTCTATTTTTCTCTTTCCTGTTTGCTTGCGTTAGTAAATTGGAAGCATTTGAGGACTTAACAATAAATAAAGTGTATTTTAGAAAAATATAGGCTAAGATTGACAATATCAGCAAACAAAACTATCATTACTAAAAACTTCTTCATGGAATTTTTGTATCAGTAATAGGTTACCGTGTTGTATGTTAATGACAATCTTCGTCACTGAGGAGGAACGAGAGAAAATTCTATCATCCATATTATCAAGCCTGAATAATTACCATTTACGACACTGTAATTAAAAAACAGATGAAGAAAGCTGATACGATTTAAAATGCTGCTTTTTGAACTCAATATTCTAAATCTAACTAGAAAGTGCATGTACAATCGTTTGAGCCATGTCATTTCAAACAAAAAACTACATAGAACCATCTACATATCCAATAATTCATCATAGATATCGGAGATAATTTCGGATTACACATTTTCATCAAGATTTATAAATTTTCTAGCAAAGACTTTGGTTTGAGGGTATTAGAAAACTGTTCTATATCCTTACAGAATCAAGTCGCAAATTTTAACACGATTGAAAACGAACTTCGATTACCTATCACTGTCTAAACTTTGCTGTTCCCTTAAAGACGAAAAGGAGATGCTTGACAAGATTCTTACATGATATGTTAACGATCACGTGGATAAAGGGAGTAGCAGAGTTGTGTTCAATCAATATATCGAATAATGGTGTGACAAAAATTTTTGAGGGCTGCGCGAGTACGAATACAAAATGTACTCTGAAATAAACACCAAACTTGTACTCCCATTACTGTGAACATCATATGTACTGGGAAAAATCTTAGAATAGATGGGAATGTATTCCCATGTACTCTGAAAATGGTATGGGTGTCAGTGTCAGCAAATACAAGATCCACCCACACCCACACCCATACCCTGAGTACATTTCCAACTATTCTAAGATTTTTCCAGTACATATAGCAGTCTGAGTGCATTTTTGGGTTATGATAGTACATGAGTGAATAAGTGTACAAATTGTACTTGTATTCGCGCACCTCTGAAATTTTTCAGAATTCTGCATTATAGGCTAAATATTTAACTGATACAAGACGATGAGTAACAACTTCAAGTCATCTACCAAGAAAAGAACAAATTAAGAGACTATGCATGAGAGAATCGAGCAGACGTCTAATAGGCTGGCACATGATTTTTTCTAACAACCCCTTTTTTTAATTTCATTCAATTCTACGTGAAAAACTGGGCTGAAGAGATTTTTTTACACTTTTATACCTTACCTTCACGGAGTTACAGACATTTCAATTGAACCACCCTTCGAAATTACGAAAAAAAAAACGAAATTTCAGTATTTTTCGTTTTGTGAAGTCGGATTACATCGTATAATGTTGCGGAACATCTCATTCGAAAGAGCGTAAAAGACTGCATCGACTGATATATTTCACATTTCCAAAGTGAAACAGTTTTTGGAAAAAAATTGTTTTTACCAAAACAATTTTGAGTATTTTCAATTGTTTTTGACCGCTTGATACAGGCGTCAGTATTTTCTCAATAAATCAACAATATTAACAACTATCCAGGTCGGACTTTTACATTTCCATAGCCATTTTGACTATCTACAAAAGCAGGTATTTAAGAAACCACCATTTAATGGTCATCTGAGTCATATCTAGACAATTTGGTTTCTGGATGCAGCTTTTGTGCATTTTTGACACCTTTTTCAGACTATGTTTCGTTAGAAAATTAAAATTGATTCAAGACTAATATCAGATTCAGAATCAGCGTTAAAAACTGAGTCGACTGATGTAATTTGTGAATAATTATGAGCAAATATTTTTTTTTCGAAAAATCCCCGTACTCCCCCCCCCCCGCTCAGGGATGGTCCGGTCAAAAATCATAATTTTTTCAATAACTCAGCGATTTCTTGACGGATCCTTCTCATCTTCGAATTCGACCGAGATATTGCCAAGACTAAGCTGCGTAGAAAATTTCGTCGCAATCTGACTCTCCTTTCGAAAGTTGTCGTGTAAAAGACCGGACGGAGGGCCGGACACACAGACTGATCTTAGTAGTGTACTCACTTTTTCAGTACACTAATAAACTATTCGATGTAGCTTTCTTTGCTGATCATGTTCCAACAATTTTTCCTATTATAAAAGCGAAATTACAGTGACTAATACTGATGATTTTTTAAAAGTCACAGAAGTTCAAAATCGCTAGGTGTTGAAATTATTTCAAAAAGTTCGAACTGTTGATCCCCATTACAATCTTTGTGACTTATTTCATCTTGTGCAGTATTGAATGCTCTACGAAATTCAGTAATAAAATTCATGGTCAATATTAATGTCGTCAAAAACAATTGAAAATACTCAAAATTGTTTTGGTAAAAAAAATTTGTTTTTCAAAACATTTTTCACTTTGGAAATGTGAAATGTATCAGTCGATGCGGTCTTTTACGCTCTTTCGAATGAGATGTTCCGTGGCATTATACGATGTAATTCGACTTCACAAAACGAAAAATACTGAAATTTCGGTTTTTTTTTTCGTAATTTCGAAGGGTGGTTCAATTGAAATGCCTATAATTCCGTGAAGGTACAATATAAAGTTGTAAAAAAAATTTCTTCAGCCCAGTTTTTCACGTAGAATCGAATGAAATTAAAAAAAAGGGGGTGTTAGAAAAAATCATGTGCCAACCATTCTCGAGATCCTTGTGCATTCCCTCTTAAAAGTAAATTTAAAAAAGGGAAAGAAAAATTCTTTCATTATTTGATTTTCTTACAATATTCTTACAAAATAACAAAAGCTTTCTTCAATTTTTCTAAAAAACCATATCATAGTTCAAATTTATACGTAAATTGTTTCTTGAAGTTCTTTTTTCTCTAAGATTTTTCTTGATATAATTTCTATTTTCTATATGTGATGGACTTTTTTTCTAATTTTTATTTAACTGCCTTCCATATATACTGTATGGTTGAAATTAATATATTAATGAGAGGTTGTTTATACTGATGAGTTTTTTCTGGCATACGGCTACCATCTTAAACAAGGTATCAACTACTTTCAAACTTTAATGTTTTCTTTCTTACACCTTCTTGCATCAAATTATTTAGGTAATGAACATAGCAGCAATGCATAAGATTTTGGATAATTCGAAGGAATTTCTATTAGAAATAGACAAAATAAAGACATTTCAAGTAAGTTTTCAATGTATGCAAGAAAGTAACCAACATGATAGAAAAGAGACCAACATGAAAAAAAAAACCTTACAGAATATAATTTCTTTGATTACAGTGTAGCAACAAGAATCAATGGAATGAAACAAAAATAGAAGTTAATTACAGATGGTTGTTGGAGCGAATGGATCGGAAAAGGAAGAAAGGAGAAATGTAGAAGAAAATTCTAGAAAAGAAAATATAAAAAAAGGAAAATTAGCGAATGAAAAAATGTCGAAGAGAAATTAGCGAAGAGAAAAAATATTGAAGATTAGAATGTCTAAATATGACATTATATATACGTATATACATATAAATTTGTGATAAGTTCTATTGAGTAGATGAAAAATAACTATGAAATACAATCAAGACTTACATTAAATGTCATCACTATTAGGAAACTAGAAGGACAACACTACAGTATGTGTTGAAATTAAAATTAAGTGATACATGCTTTAACTTTGAGTATTTAAGCTCATGTGCCTTTAAAGTCTCACAAAATAGTACATAGATTAAAAGTCATATGTTATTGAGCAGCTTTATTATGTAATTTATGAAATAAATACTTGTGTGTAAGGCCTGGTCTACACTACAAAAGTTAATACTGTATTAAGGAATCTGATTGGTAGAAAAGTTAATGCGAATTTAATACACTTTTGAAAAGTGTATTAAAGTTAATGCACCAATGAAAACTTATGTTCATTTTCGAATGATAGAAGACCTTAAAGCCTCCATAATGTTTTGTTAAAAATCGTAAAAACCAAATAAATTCTGTTAAAATACTTATAAATTGTGTGTAGAATGATAACTTTTCATAATATTTAACAAAAAAAGAGAATTTGGGAATTTTCTTATGGAAGCCTACATATTATTATCATGGTTCTTACGCGAAGTTGAGTTGTCAAATACGTCAAACAAATGTCAAAACGTTAATTTCACTGCTCAAATCAAACGTTGTTGAAATATTCATTAATATAAAATATTAAAAGAAATATGGAGATTTGATCATTTTTTAAATTAGTGTGGAAATCGATAATATGTGCGGAATTTAAGCATCTAAATTTTAGATCTCGTTTTATATGATAGATTTTCATATTTACTGTTGTATCAAAAATATATATGTATTGATAGTAATTAATACTTTATATGAAAATAAGATAATCAGACCCCATGAATGATAATTCAAAGTGGTTGTGAAATGAAGTTTTATTAAAACTATAGATAACTTTAAATTCTTTAAATTGTTTTATTTTCAGATGAATCCTCAATATATTCGACTACTTTTGCCCTCGAATAAAAACATTCGAGTTCTCGTTCCAACACAACGACCAATATTGCAAAGTGTTCAATATTCAACAGGGCGACTGATTTGTCCCAAGAATTTAATTGCTGCTGTCGGTCAATCGCAAAATGAACCGCTGTCAGTGCAGTCTAATTCTGTACCTGTTTCATCGACTTGTTCATCGAATTTCGAGCAGCAAACACCGGGAGACATGGCTTCAGCTGCAACAACGATTATATCTGCTTCGTCAGAGAATGTTGAAACGAAACACAACAACAGCGATACAAACTTATCAGACACAAGTAAATTTGAAATTTATATTTTGGACAAACTATTATTATTTGTCAAAAATGCTCAATTTTTAAGAATTAATTTGAGATAGTTTGTGTATTTACACTAAAATACAAAAATTCCTTCAAATATTTTATTCTTTTTAGTATATGTACTGCTTCGATCTTCTTTTTAACTGCTGATCTATGTTAAGTTATGACAGTATCATGTACCTGAATTGCTGACAAGAATTCAGCAAATGAGAAAGTCCATTTTATTTTACAAATGTGTAAAAAATCAAATTTTCATTGAACAATTCTTCTTAAAATCAATAAGAGGATTTCTAATGCATAAACTAATATATATCAATTGTTATTATAGGTACGTGCGAAATAAAATCACCATCGACACCAGCTTCAACAAAACGAAATTGTTCCTATTTCTGTAACACAAGTGCCAAGAATTTCAAGAGATCACAAATGACTGAAAACGATGAATATTGTGAGTAATCTCTAAGTTCTTAAAACTTACTTCTTTTTTTCTATCTAGTTCAAAGAAAAGCAAAGCGAGCTAAGAATTTATCTGAAGAAGAAACTTCAGCTTTTATAAATGTTTGGTGTGAATATTACGATCGTCTGACTGCAGGTGGTTCTCGTAATATACCGATATACCATTATATGGCACAGCAGTTTAACACCATATTATCACCTAGAGTGATGACTGCCGTCGATGTTAAATCAAAAATATCCAACCTCGTTGCAGAGTATCGAAAAAAAAAGAAAGATATGGGAAAAACAGGTGGCAGCCCGTGCACGTGGCATTACTTTGATCAAATAGACAAGTTACTAGGTAGGAGTCAACATTGAAATTCTAAATATGAAAATGTTTTTTATCTATCCCAATTAAATAGGTGAACGACCTTATAACGATGACAGTTTGATGACTGACACAATGATAGTACAAAATAACGTTATTATCGACGACATTGAAAATATTCCAATGAATAATTCAAATGGTAATCTTGATGGTGAAGATATTGATCATACGTTAGGTTCAACAAAAGATTTTGAAGAAGTAGCAAAAGATACTCGGTCCACGATATCAAGTAGTCCATGAAATACATCTTCAACTCAAAAATCCACATCACAAAATTCAGCTGATTCATCTGTAAACAAGAGTTACCCACGAAAAAAAAGAAAATATCTGACATTAGGTACGTGTCTTTGATAACATTGAATATATTAATTTTTTCATGATCCTGTATTTAAGAATGGATTTAATGCAACAGATACTAATGAAGATAGATAGTGCCAATGAAATAGCAAACCAAGCGGAATCGAAAGCATTGGCTTTACTTGAAAAACAAACTAAACTTCAAGAAGAAAGTTTAAATACTGAAAAAGAGTTTTTAAACGTGTTCAAAAAGATTGCAGATAGTTTTAATCACGATCATTGAGGTGATCATCTCATAACATATTATCCTCAATTATTTTTTTAAATTAGTTTTATTTATGCAGATATATATGCTTTGTTTGATAGATGTTATGATGTTGTTAAACATTATTTCGTTAATATATGTTTTAAAATTTATTATTTTACTTGATTTTTATGTTCAAAACGTTTGTTCTTGAGTTTCTATACATTTGATTTGATTTATCAGCTGTATGGTTTCATTAAAATATTGTAATTGAAATTACAAGCTTATGTATGATCAAAATGATTGTTACAACGTGTGATATTGTATGTTAGCTCATGTTTGGTTTTTATAAATAAAAAATTTGTTCATTTAATTCTGCAATCTAGTATCATCAATTACCGAGTCTCAAAGTAGGAAATCGTAAAGACTTGTGCTTGTAATCAAATAAAGTACATTAATAAACATAGTCTACTTTGGAACTTGTTATTAATTTTAATTGCTCAGACCTCTAAAGATACTCATAAACGTTCTCTGATTATTTAAATCTTGAAATTTATTAAATGATTCTTTTAACATTTCTGTAGATCATGGACGAAATATGGGTGTGGGTGTGGGTGTGGGTGTGGGTGTGGGTGTGGGTGTGGGTGTGGGTGTGTGTGTGAGTGTGGGTGTGTGTGTGGTTGTGGGTGTGGGCGTGGGTGTG